ATGTTTTTGCGTGAGTTAAAAACTCTTCCACCACAACATTTGCAGGAGCATTTTCAGGATCTTAAGGCATCATTGGCAAACCCCAGGGACTTGATCTATCCGAAGGTCTCTCTCTCTGAAGTTATGACAATCGTAGCACTGCATCGGCTTTGAGAAACACTGCCTTGGACTAGGACTGCTGTGAAGTATGGAATTCTCAAACTGAGAATATGGCTGCTAAAACATCTGAGCTAAATGAATCATTCAGGGCTCGTTCAGATTCATTCGGGGCTTCTGCCCCAGGCTCGTCATGCATCTTACCATTTCTATGGACCATAACATATCCCTTCACTACCCCCTCCCAAGTACATTATTTTGCAGAATAAATAAGTGGGTTCTCAAAAGAACACCTTTGCTATACAATCCATCACGTGTCTTATGGAGTCGAATTGTCTTTCTGAGGAAAGCAGTTTGCTTTAAGATGTGGCTCAATCAAGAGGTCATATTTAAGGAGAGGAAGAACCACAATTCGCTGGTCTGTAGTTGGCAGCAGCAAGCTTCGGGGGGGGGGAGGATCCTGCTTTGATGTAAGCTGCCTTTGTTGTTCTGCGCAAGGCTGACAGGCCAGAGCTGTTGCATCACTTTATTTACATTTTAAAGGATGAATTTTTATGCTTCCCCCTGATTTTGTTGGGCTACAGTGCAGACTATACTTCTTACTTTCGTCTTAAGGAAGTGGATCTATTTCCGTACGTGTTGAATCTAATTTGAGAGACTTTGCAGTCAAGTTGTCTCACCCTCTGCATTCCAGACTGGCAGCAGCGCATTTTGGCACATTTTGTGTCAACACACTTTCCTGTCTGCCGTGAAATGGGCTAGCAGAGCCCTCCCCTCCCCAAAAACCAATTAACAAAGAAGAATTTCTAATTACTTTCAGCTGACAAGATAGCGGTGTATTTCAAATTGCAGGCACAGCAAGGTTCCTGATAATGAGATTAATTAGCAATATCTGGCTGACGAAAACAAGGACAGGAGACCTTCTGTCTGCTGGTAGTTAAGTGTAAGAATCAGATACTCATCTGGAATCAATGTTTCATCTGTTTTAAATATATAGATGAAGACTAGTGGCCTTAAGGTTGTCATAGTTAGCGTTAGCATTTTTCCCATTGAAATGAATGAGCGGTCCCCATAAGGATATGTTTACCCTACATCTGTGTGTGTGTGTGTATACACATATGCATACACACAAACACAAAGGCACCGACAGCTGGACTGAAGAAAATTAATGGATTTGTGTTACATATTAAAGTTCCACACAGAGCAAGATCGGACTGAAATGAATACCTGAAATGGTTGTACTGGAATGCTGCATCATTCTTCCTGGAGCAACGCCCTGGTTCACTGGGCATTTATTTGCAGATTTCCACTTCCTTCTGGAACCCTAACCCAGTCATCCGCACAAGTTCTCAGAGGGCCTGGATTCTCTGGATTTCTTCGTTGTAGTTTGCAGTGTCGGCGTGGCTAAAACTAGGAATGATTTCGCACTGTGGGGCAGAACAGGTGGGAATTGCTGCGGTTTACAGTGAAACCCCAGACACACACAGGCACTCAGACTCCTGCAAATATAGCTCTGAATGTAGGGTCCAGGAATGTTTGAAGGGCACGGACTGGTCCGGTCTATCGCTGTGTCTCCTGACTGCAGTTAAATGAAATCAAGGCCTCAAATTCGGGGATTAAAACGATGTTCGCTGGTGCGTGTATTGTAATCAGAAATATAATTACATTTTTTGATGAGATAAGTCCCAGCACAGGTCTGTTGAGATGACAACCTTGCCTTGGTCACTTTGACTGTCTCCTTTTAGTGCTGTATGTTAATTGTGGTGGTGAGCAATGGAAGTGAGACCTCATGGTGGATTGAGTTTGAGCCCGTGGCGTGATGCTGCCTCGTTCGGTCAATCGGATCTAGGACTCTGTTCCACAGCCATTCGAGGTTCATATCGATTGCTGGCAGCGCTGCCAACGGCCGTATATCACCGGGACATGTGAAACCCCAGCAGGGACGTTTGTGCCGTTTATGAATGCAAACAAAATGCAACTTTGTTTCTCAGCCACATGCATTCAATGTGTCTGACGCATTGGGCTCCATGCTGAAGCTGACGGCGGGTTACTGCAGATGAGGAGCAACTGGGAGCTGATGGAGATGAGCGATACTGGAGATACTAAAGCAACTGGGAAAAGTTTATAGTATGGAAATGAATGAGAAGAGTTTTGTGTTTGTTTTTGTCTTTATGGGGACTGTTGTGATCTTTAAAACCCCAAGCAACACATTACCTTCTGAAATATATATTTGTTGGCCAGAGTCAGTAATGTGAAGGAAACAAGCAGAGATTCTCTGGAGAAACATAAAAATAAGTAACCAGAGAAAGTGAAGTCCCATGTCCTCCCCCCCTTTAAAAGATAATGGAATGACAGGATGATGAAGGATTCAAAAAGAGAGATTTAAGATGAAGGAGAGTTGGGATGACTGCTGAAGTGATGGAAGCTTCCTGAAAAATTGAAGATCCTGCCAGCAGACCAAGGAGGACGGATGAGTTTTCCGCACTTGCTGCGGATTTGCTGTGAGATGCGGCGTCGTGAGCATGAGGTGGGTGTTGACTTGACATAGTCCGATCCTGGCAATGATTGATGTCATTTTGTTTGTTTCCTCTGTCCCCGGCGCCTTGAACATGAAACGGCCAGACCAGGCACCGCTGGGTGCTAGATCCCACTATCAATGCTAAAGGTGGAAACACTGACAGCCTTCTGAATGGTGTAACTGTATGTTTGGAACTGCATGAGGAGACCGGAGATATTTGCAGTGATGAGATGAACAGCGAATCTTCGGCTGATGACATATGATTGGAAGATAGAACGCTGGTTTTCTTAGCAGACAGTAACTGATAAGAAACGGTGGCAAATGCTGATGAGAATAAGTCCGTTGATGTTAAATTTGCTACAAATTTGTCTTTGCACGCCATGCTACAGAGGTGAATGGGATGTGGGAAATGTTTGAGTTGTTGAACTTCAATCCCATGTTTCTTTCAAAAAATGTTGTGTCATCGCTAAGATATATACCACAAGCAAACCTCCATTGTCTTATACCACTACAGAACAGCACTGCACTGCACTGCACTGGGGTCAGCACCCCCCACCCCCAGCAGTAATGAAGGCTGGCGTGTCTCTTTAACTGCAAGTCAATTACAGAGTGTCTGGAATGCACCACCAAAAGTACACCATCTTCTCTGTGTACGTTTCCTAATTTGTCTTTTGCCGTGGGTACAGCCGCATTATTGTGGTGCTTCCTGTGTACAGAGGCATCAATAACCCTTACTGTCAGTGTGCAGAGAACCTCAAGGCTCTGGCACCTGTGCAAGGTTAAAATCCTTAATCTGGGCCACAATGCCAGCAGGCATCACCAGTGAAAAGTTCTCAGTTGCAAGTCAGCTGCTCGTCACATATAACAAAAGAGAAATTAATTTGGAATGGAAGTTCTCCTCAGTCTTGCCCTGGTTTATTGCATTTGCTGAAAAATTATTGTAGTCATGCAGGATTAAATACAATTTCCTCCCAATCCCATAATCCCCTGCAATGAAATTGACGTGAGCATCATGTTCACTTGATGGACAGCTACTGGCTTCCCCTTAAATAAATTATCCCATATCGGCAAAGCAGAAATCAACCATGCCAGCCGTGTTGTTTTCTGGGAACATTTTGTTACAGAAATCCTCCTTTCAAGTTGTGATTGAACATTGCTAAACACCACAGTATTAATCTAACCTTAAACCCTTGAAATTGCATTTTTTCTATTTTAGACAATCCCATGTACCATATTAAATGAAAATTGAGGGACTTTTTCTTCATCACAACCTCCTGTGGGCTTGCGTCAAGCAGCTGAGGCGTTCGAGAAACACATCCATCTTTTTTTGACTTTGCAAAAGTATCACTTATCACACATCTGCGTGCAAAGGTACATCCTCCCCCACCCACACATGAAACGCATTCATTTCCGTCACACCTACAAAGAACCCGAAGTCTTTCTGACAGCTGCATGCACTGCAGCCTCCAACAACCAACACCAATTTACAATGATCCCGTGGCTCAGATCTGCTAGTTTACGTGAAGGTCATACTCTGATCTGGACTATTATGACCAGTCCTTGTTCGATATCAGCTTCCAGTGTCCCCAGCATTCACAGAGTAACGCTGAGTTCTTTGAGTTGCCTTGTCTTTGTGTCCAACTGCATCCAGCCTTTAGTTCCTGCCAACATTCGGGATGCAATTTATCATGTCCTTCTGTGAGCCCTGGCAAGGTTACATCAAAATAACTGCTTTGGCCCTTAACATCCTTTTATTTTGACAGTCAGTGGTTCCCACTCCCCCCTCCCCCAATTTCGTAGTCTGAACTCAGTGTGCTGTCACCTTGCCGCGAGATCACCTTCAGCTACCCCTTGACCGACCAGGGTGACCGAAATGAGGAAACGTTCCTCAACGCTCAGCAAATGAGGTCACTTGTCTGCTCTGGGAAAGTAATGTGCACCACATGTACAGTAAACGGCCCACTAAGGTTGATTGAGCAACATGAATATTTTTACGGCTAGCCTAGCATAACGGTGCAGCATGATCTTATTTTCAGAATTGACCAGCTGGCTTGAAGTGAAAGCGAGCTGATCTTCACATGGTCTGAAGAACGAAATGGAGTCAGAACAACTGATCATATGACTACAAGGTTTCTGACCACTAAGCAAAAGTTACACACAACCAGTTTGGCTGGGTGTTACTTTGCCACCTGGACAGTGGCCAGTATCTCAGGGTTCCAGTTACAGATAATCTCATGATTATGACAGGTGCTGCCGGTACCGAAAGCACACTTAGGACATCTGAAAGACAAATTGTAAGTGATATGTGTCCAGGTGGACAATTATCAACGAAAAACTAAAATGAGTCCTGTAGATTTGGTAACGCCAAAGAGAAACCACCTAGCTGCATCTTTTTATTCATCAAAAAATTTATTTTATTTTTTTGTCCATTTTCACAGTTTCATATATCCCAGAATAATTCTATTTTCAAGTATCAATGTCATGACAAAAAATGTCCTTTTCAATCAACATAGGGAAACAAAAATTGCAATAACAGAAATAACTGCCACTATTTGTGTTTTATTTTTATTAATTTGTCCTGTTACTAATTGCCACTATGCAGGTAAATCCTCGACAATATAAACGTCAAACATGTCCAAAAAAAACAAACAAATGTGCTTCATACACGTAAATCTAACAGAACGGAAAAGCAGAGGACGAAAGAAACCAGGACTGGGATTCCTAGCTGTAGAATGTGTGTGTTTGCAGAGGTAGGGAGACTCAACATGAAACGACTACTGCAGCATCCAGGTATGTCTCAGGGGTGATTCTCACAGCCTGGACCATGTGAGACTGAGCTGGTGCTGGTCTTCACCATCGTGTAGAGAATTAGTAGTTAGTAGAAGGGTTGTTCCGTCCCACCCCCCTCCCACCTCGGGGGGGCTCTTCCAGAAAGACTTCCTGATCTGGGGCAAGCGCTTGTTTACGCAGTGGCTGACGGTGCCTCAGAATCCCCCAGCTAGCTGCGTTAACTGTGCAGTGCTCTTTAGTACGTTTCTGAATGCGAAAACAGCATGATCGACAAAGACGTCGTCAAGGATGTCGGGGTGAGTGCCGATGTCTCCCGGGTCGGGCTTGGCGCTCTCCCCGCAGAATGGCGCTGTGACGACTCAGCGATTTTCCCCCCCCCCATCACGAGGGACTTCCAACCTCGGGAGATCTAAGGTGGGGTGTGCGAGAATCAGGAGAGCACTCTGTGCGGGCCAACATCGAGGCAGCTCCACAGTGTGAAAACGTGGCGATACTGAACATCCCGGCATCCTGCGGCCTCCCTTCTGAAAGGCCCCCTCTCTGACGCCCCCTCTGGATCCGGCAGACTCCTGCTCTGAGCCGTGGCAAAAGTACTGCAATAGTTTGGCGTGTAGTTATCCAAAAAAAGAGGCCTAACCAGGGTAATTCCTTCAAAGAGACAGAAACTTTTACAACGAATACTAGGAGGCCTGCATGAACCAGGTAACGTTCTCCTCTGTAATTAGCATAAATCTGCAGTATTTTAAAAGCACTATCTGACCCTGTCCCCCCACTCAACACTCCAACACCAGTCTCACTGTTAAGTAACAGCCCCCTTCTACATTCGCATCATTACTGCATGGCCACATTGATGCCAGGAACCACTAATGAAAGATGAGGACATTTCACCATATCGATATATCGATACTGTAAAAGCAGGCCTCACCCCCAGCCCCTCTGGGACACACGTTTGATCTGATTCGGCCCTTTGTCCGTTTCGCGTCACACATCGGTGTTTCAAAATTTGGACCCTGCCGGACGTGACACCTATCACATAAAACACAGACGGAAGTGACATTTGGCAAAGGTCTGGCAGCTGCTGGCTTCTCTGGCTGTACCGTCAACCTCAAGCCAAGCCCTTCTGAGCTCAGTGTGTCTGTCTCCGGTTTGTGCGAGAAAGAAGCTCTACGATCCACATTATAGTAGGAGCCAGAAATAAACACGTCTGTTAGATTTTAAGGCTGGATTAACTTGTCAGCTTCTTCCCCTCTCAGATGGGGGAGGGAGAGGGAAAACACTTTCTAATAACAATTTAATCATATTTGGTACGGATGGTTTCACATTGTTGACTCAAACACGATTTGCAAATAAAAAATACTATTAAAGAAGTAATTGTCTTGAGGTTTGACTGACAACTCTGTCCACACCTGTCACAGCGCATGTACAGTACCTGGGTACAGCTATGACTAAGGCCGTCAAAATCACATGGAGTATACAATCGGATAAGGACTGAAGTAGACAAAACAGGGCTTTTCAGACACCGGACTAGTTCAACTATCAGCAGCCTTTTTTTTAAAGAAATCCAGTCAGTCAAAATTGCTAGTTGTTTATGATGCTAAAGGTATACGCGCGTCTCCTTTTTGCTGTCCTTCTAGCCTAGCAGCTCTGCTCAGCTCGGATTGAGACCGAACAGCAAGACCCAACGACATTTCTCAAAGGCCAGCACAATGAAAGGCAGCGTAATCTGATGAGTTTCAGGCAAATATACTGCTTCCCTCTAACAGTAAGACCTCATTCCGGTGACGTGTTCCTGTGAGTGACAAACGTCCTTCCTTTTCTGCTACTGTTTTTTTTTTTGGGAGATAAAGAAAAATGTATTTTTATTCAAATTAACACACTCTTCCCCTTTTCCAGTTGAAATTTAGCCTGAGAACACATGGCTTAGGTGTCATATATCCTGGCCGTCATCTCACAAGCAATTTGATTAATAGATTGAGATAATAAAAACAAAATGCAAATATTGTACAGGGAGCGACTACAGTCAGGGTTGAGACGGCCACGTGGCGCCTGATCGCTTGCCTGCTTGCTTGCTTGTCCTTGCATCAAGTGCGATCCTAACAAACTGCAGTGATCTAATTAGATGGAAGGGGGGGGTGGGGGGGGCATAAAACGCTGTGCACATTCTCCAGCCTTCAGAAGCTGCAGAGGTTCTAAAAGTGAGAATGATTTATTCTAATGACGCTTTTCAAAGTGCTGCTCCACTGCTGGAGTTATTAAATGTTTTCATTAAACCTTCCCGCAGACTCCTGGCATACACATCTGATTGCTTATTAATATCGGTATCGATCGGGCAGGCTGGTCATCTCTGCTTAAAGCCAAAGGGGGGCAGGCAGGCGGGCTGACAGGTGAAGGGCTCACTGGTGGGGACCGGCACCGAACTGGAAGACTCTTATGCAAAGGCGGGATTGACCACAAAAAGCCAAGTAACTTGCAGGGTCACGTCTGGACGTTTGGCTTAGAAGAAAGGGTCTGAGACTAATCGATAGATCTTTGGCTGCTCCTGCCACGTGACTTGATAGATATTATAGTCATGTACCATAGTCTAGTCTGCACCAGGTTCTGAATGTTCTGTTACACACAATTTAAACACAGGGGCGTAGCTAGAACTTCTGGGCCCCTTGATAAAACCTTGGGCTGCTAGAACATGCCCCACAGTAGGATTCAGGCCCCTGTAAAGTGCTGGGCCTCCTGAATCTGCCAGAGTATCCATGCCCCTCCGACACCCCTGGTTATATGTGTCTGTCTGTTGCATAACATCTATGTTTGGTTTGCCTGAACTGGTTCATGAGTCCACGGTTATTTGAGGGTAAGAGGTATTCTCATGGGTTTGGGCACGTTCCCTGCTGGCAAGCGCGGCCCCCGTTCTCCTCATCCTGAACTGTTTGCACCTCAGGCATCAAGAACGAAAATGGCGGGAAAAGCGGGAAGCTTATCGGTTAAGGCAGTAATCTCTGGGTGAAAAGCGATGCGAACTTAAGGCAGTGTGGGTGGATGACTCATGCGGCAAATGAAAGTGTAACCATGAACAGCATTACCTTCCATGCGCTATGTTCAGTCCTTTTTTAACTAAGCAATGCCCCCAGTAACAAAAAAATATATATATATAATATTCCTTTCACTCCATAAATAAACAGGTAAAAGTTGAATACAGAAGGTGTGACCTTGGGTGTTTGTTTCCAACATGTACATTAATCACGCAAGAATAATGTTCCCAATGAAAAGCAAGTCAAAAAATGCAAGGTTTGTTTTTTTTTTCTTTTTCTTTTTCTTTTTTTTTTTGCAGTGACTTGAGCACAGTGATACCCGACCCTCTTTAAAGGTAGAAAGGTTGCATTAACTCTCATTTTGAAAATCAAATTTTCCCCCGTCCTATTTCATGTCATTGTTGTTCTTCGAAAAAGTACCATGGGTCACCATGGTCAATATTTGGGTGGGATGACCACTATGGGCTCCCCAACACCTGGTCGCCACATAAGGACCTGGGCATCGTTGGCGTTGGGTTTGACCATGGCGTTGGTCGGGATGGGCTCATTTTTGCCAAGGATCTGCGGCTGTTCTTGTATGACAGGCTCCATCAGCGTGGCCCGTTGGCCCAGAGGCTTGTCCGGGTCGATCACTATGTGAAGCTGCATCCTCCAACGCACTGTCTGTAGCACCAGGGTCTCACCCGAACCCTGGTTGATGGCCACTAGCCACGTGGTGAAGCTCTGGTCCCGCCAGATGCTACTCAGCAGCGGCAGGTTGCTGTCGCTCACCGGCACACCCCAGGTCACACTCGGATAGAAGTTGTCGTTCATGCTAATGGTGAACTTTGTATCCTTCTTGGTGGGTCCCACGATGGTGCACGTCTCCGTGGTGTTGCCGTACCAGGGGTAGTTCACTCCATCCGAATCGCTTATCGCCTGGATTTTCCCTTCCCTTAGGTCTGGGAGCTCCCAACTTGACCTAATCAGCAAAACAGCAAAGTGAGACAGCTGATTAAGGAACATCGAGATTCTCGACAGGAAGATGGCAACCGAGTAACATCAAAGGGCTCTCCTGGAATATCTCCAGTCCTTCAGTTACCTTTGTTAAAAAAAATTAAAGTTAAGGTTGTACAATCAGGACAGTCATCAGGGGATCAAGTGGTAGTGCACAGCAGTGACACTTGACCTGCAAAGTCCATGTCGGCCTGGTCTGACCCTGAGGAGAGGCCTGCAAGCCAACAGCACGTTGTGGGATGTCGGCCACCACCGACAAGAACGTTTCAAAAAACAGCATTGACCGAAACAAGAGTGCATTTCAGAAACCTCTGCCTGCTTTCCTATTGATTTGCTTGCTGGAGGAAGGAGGGGAGGTGACCTTTCTCCCAGAACCTGAGCATCAGCAGAAAGCAGCTTCTGCAAAGCGTCTCGCCAGGAATGACATGATATGCGTGCGTGGATGTCTATTGGAAGGAAGATAGATTACAATCTCAGGGATAAGAAGAAGCTTGTTGTGGAACTGGGTACACTTTGAGCTCCGTATAATGTGTGTCAGTTCAGGCATGTCGATTATTGGAGTATCAGTGGTGGGATAAATAACAAGAAATGTCTTACAGTCTAATCTCTAAGAAAGGTCTCAGTGTTCCTTAAGCTCATGACAACACAGGATCTCATTTGCTTGGTTTTGAATATTAGCCATTCACCATTGCCACTTGTTTTCATACAGGGAGATAAGTCAGGTGAAGACTGCAATCGCCAAACTGGAGTCAAATATTCTTCAAAGAATCTGTGAAGTCTCACTACCCTGAACCTGTATAAATGACGTCAGTTTTGACTTTCATTTAAGCCCTGAGTTTTTCACCTCCCATTGCTACATCTTTCCCTTATGGTGCATCTTTCATGAGAGTAGCGATGATAGACTGGTGTCCTGGCTAAAATGTCCCACTGGGGCCCTTTTCCCTTCTGGCCTCCCCGTCATCCCCTATGTCAAATCGGTGAATCATCTCCTGGCCCTTCACTACCTTAGCTACTGCGTGGTGAACGAACTGACTCAGAATGGCTGCTGTCATTGGCTGGGTGCTACACAGTGCTGGTGGTTGAAGTGGCTGCCCATTGGTTGTGTAAAGCGCTATATAACTGTAGCAGTCATGGTCCTGAGAAGGATAGACCAGTGGTTCTAAACCTCCAATCAACCCAGCAGCTAAAATAATATTATAAAATAATTTACCAAAACAAGGCATACTTCCTTTGCAAACCGAAAGAGACTCATGGCATCTCTCAGTGATGCAAAGCCACAACTGACTTAAAATGGTTTGTTCCTTGCATGTCTTTAGAAAGCTTTACTAGAACTATATTTAAACAAAGCTGACTTCTGCTTCTTCACAGTTTTTATATTTGACCCTTAAGGCTCTGGTCGGTCACACGTACCTTTACATCTCTTCAAAGCCTCACTTCAAAAACTTTGAGAGATGTTTTTTTTTTCATTAACACCAAGCTGGTCATTTTATTTATTTGGGAGTCTTTAAATCTTCTCCTTGGCATTTGTAGTTTTCAGATAATGAGATAAGAAAAGAAAACAAAAAGTCCGCATGCAACTGTGCGTTTTGCTGTCGTAAAACAGATGGCTGCTTAGTTGTCCATGCAGTGCATAGGGCCCCATCCAGCTTTTACTGCTAGGAGAATCATCAGGGAGCCATTGCAAGAAATTAACAGGTATGCATTTAGGAGATGCAGCACTTGATTTCTGTACAGCGTCTAATGAGCGCTAGGAGGTGCCAAGTAATTATCTAGTAAAACCACAGCACTGCATGTGGAACAAGATGCAGATCAAAAAAATACCCCCTCCTATTTTTTTAAATGGAAACTTGACCTTGCATTGTTTTTGTGGTCTTGTTATACACGTTTAAGGATTCACTTCCCTGGTTCTTTTGGCACGACTGTTCCGTCCTCACACTTGCCAAATGACACAAAGGGGGGGTGAAAGGTGGCAGGTTCACCCCTAGCACTGGGATGGAGCAAAAACAATCTCTCTGTGAGGCCTGAGATACATTGGCTAGATACATTTTCATATCCAGCTTCTTTACAAAATATGTATGATGTTCTAGCAGGTGCTCCTGCATTTCCGTAGAATCCCTGGGGTCATTTTGTCACTGTAGAGCTTATGAAAAAGCAGCAGTAGTAGCAGTAGCAGTAATTTAAGTTAAACTGTGATTTTTTTAGTGTAACTATTATTAGTTTAAAATGCTTGGGAATGGTCCAAAAACGCATCTAAAGCCACTGATCTGCAGCCGATTAATCGTGAGAATGTTTGAATGTTTCATAAAAATACTATGTGGGTCACTTTCGTTTCAAATTCCAAGAGACAGGAATGCTTCAGGACATACCAGGAAGTCAGTGTCGGGTGCTTCTCTTGCTTGTGGCTGTCTCAAAGCAAACGGACCCAAGGCTCTGTGCCCTTTCGATAATTAGTTTCAATGACGCTGGGCAGAGCTGTATTTGGGAAGCACGGTGATGTTTCACCGCTTCCTGTTTCACACGCTGCATCTGTAGACTCACCCAGATCCATTTCCCCTGTTACCTTCATTCAGTTATATTAACTAAATCTTCGACAGGTTTAAACAATTTAAAACACGTTACCTTTGTTTGGGGACCCAGCAAGAGAAAAACGATAAAGTAGATTCACACTAAACTCAGTGGTGTGGTTAAGTGCCATTTTCATACATTAGTCAAAAGTAGCATCTTTTTGGGTCGTAGCCATGGCAACAGAGACCACGTCCACGTATAATTGGTTTAGGAAACTGAAGGGAATCTGGCATATTTGTTTAATGGCGCCAGGGATTTTTTGTGTACATTCTGGTGTGTGTCTTAGAAAAATATACATCCAGTGCTCCTTAAATTGAGAGGGGGTGCAATCCCCCCCCCCCCCCCCAACAGAAACTGCTCCCAGCAATACGGTCTTACTGGTGCTTAGATGCATACGGCGTTTAGAACAATAGATCATGGCCGTGCAGCAAAACTCAAGGTCTCCGCCGGTCCCAGTGGGCTTGGCAGGGATGCCGGTGACATTCCTAATGCCATCAGCAGCACTGGCCCGCTCTGCTGTTTCACTGACTTTGCTGATCAAGCTGCAATCCTGACTGGCTCAGTGTATCTGGGAGGGAAAAAAGAAACTCTAATTGTTTCAGGCCAGTTGCTGAACCTGATGATTTGCAGCCGTATTTCTAGGTTATTTAGAATCATGTTTCATCCAGTAGAGGGACTAAACTTACAATTTCAAGAGCTAAAAAGACGTGTTTCGTTACTACAATTGTCCTTTGGCCTGTGCAGTGTCTGGCCTGCTATGATTACGTAATCGTGTTTGTGACAATGCATGAGGCATCTTTTTCTTTTATTATTTTTTAAAACTCATCTCAAATCCAACCTATTGATCAGCTCCAATTTTGTGATGTGATTAATGCTATTTCTCTACAGGAACCAGCTTTCTCCTGTGCACCACCATTATGTTCACCTTTCTGTCAGGCCAAAAGTTAAACAATGCTCTCCGGAGACAAGAAGCCCCTGTCTGATTTAGAAAAGCCATTTAATTGTGAGCCTGGATTCTAGGATAGAAAGATAGTCCAGGATCTATGTTTGGTAATGACATGGTTTCCATTAAATTGCCATTTGGTCCAGCTTGCAGGTCTAGTACACCCGCACATACACGTCAAAACAACTGTGGAGGAGACAGGAGGGGACTTTATCACACAGAATTTGTAATCTATGATGTCCAGCCCTCTGAAGTTGCAGACAGATAAAGCGATTTGGCTTGTTAACATCTCTTCTCACCATGTTTTTTAAAAAGACATTTCTAGAAAATTCACTCGGGGCATTCCTCCATTAGAAAGTGGCTGTTGTCAAATTCAGTTTACTTTCATACACATACACCATTGAACTATTATTAATGGCAGTATCTGTTAACATTTATGTTAATCATTTAGGCACTCAAATATCTCATTACATCTTTCAGCATGACCTATGATTCAATACACCACACCAGTATTATATTTGATAGGTAATATTTCTACTCATGAGAAGAAATTGACTTTACTAAGTGAAATATCTTTTTAATAATAAGTTGTGTGTTAGTGATTAGCTTTAACTATAAAGCTGAACTGCAACATTTCAAGAATAGAGTAAGTGAAATAGTGGACAATGTTCACCTTGTACAGAAATAAAAATTAATGTAGGCAACCTAAAATTACTTTTAGGCTCATTGCAACACTGGACTGGATGGATGGAAGGAAGGATGGATGGATGGAAGGAAGGAAGGAAGGAAGAAACAGGGGTTGCTTTACTTATGATGTTCCTTGTTGATATTATTATCCATCCCTAACTGGAAAACTGACCCTGCAGTCTAGTAGACTGTTGACATGCTAGAGTTAGCACCTCTGTAATGAACCAAAAATACCCCCATATCCCTTGTGTGTCTAACCAGGGAGCAAAGGGCAATTTGAGATATCAGTTGGCCTTATGATATCTGAATCTAAAATGTTTCTGAGTGTGTATTCAAAATAACAAATGAGGTTTTCACACAAAGGTGTACACAAAACGAAAAATATGTCTCTGGTGGTCATTGTAGTCTTAATGAGGTATAGAAAATATTTTATGCTTTTTAGTGCAGATTTAGTGAACTTCGCAATTAAGAGAATTTGAATAACAGTAGGGTGCTCAGTATGTTCTACCCAAAATAAAGAAAGTAACCTCAACAAAAAAAATTTCCCCGAGATTAATGTTGTATTGCAACAAAGGAAACGCCAGTGCAACGTTGTCACGATTGTTGATATCACAGATACCACTAAGTATGTCTCGTATAGTCTGAAATGTGTGGTATAATCCCTATTAGATTGCAGTTTTAATTCTATTAATGACTTTACAGAAATAAATCATTTAAACAGAACATAACAAATGAAGAGTATTAAGAGTAAAAAAGTTGCATTCTAATATAAATACCGGCTCATTTTGTACATGAAGTGCAAACAGTTGCATTTCATCTATAAAAATAGAATAATTATTAAATAGTAATAAAGAGGCGTAAATAACAATAATTTACACTTACATTCCCTTCGTCCCGTAGTTGTTGTAGAATTCCATGTGATTGCAGGCTTGAATCCAACCCACAGTCCAAGTCTCTTTACCAGCCACGGGCGGCACCAGCACCCGGGCTGAGGCTCGAAAGTGCGGTGTCCGGTATCGCAGAACCACGCCAGAGGACTCGTCGATGCTGGTGGGATTGGAATCGATGGAAGAATTCACTTCGAGCACGATGATACTTTCGCGGAAACTCTTGGGCTTACACCTAATACTCTGGATACAGCCCATCGCATTAAATATAAATAAAATCCACAAGAACGTCTTGCTGTCTGCAGGGGAAAGAAGCATTTAAGTTGTAATAAATGTACTTGTCTTAAAAAAAAATACCTATCCACACTCACACAAGACAGAACTCTTGGCAATTAGGTGATTTTTTTTAGTAGCTGTGTTTTTACACGCTAAAATGTGCGGTCGTTGTTGTCTTCGGAAAGGTTGTGCATCCCAGATGATTCTCTTTGTGTTTTTTCATGATTTTTCAGTTAAACGGACCGAAAGATGAACATCCGCATGCTTTCCGCTTTTCTTTGCTTGCTTGTGCTGTACAACAGAAAGCTCTGATGTAAGTTTCTTTTCCGTTTCAAGCGGCTTCCTCCATCAGTTGCAGTAGGTTCTCAGCCTATCAACTGACTTGTATGCAGGCTTGCAGACTCTCGATGCTTTTTTGTTTTTATAATGTTTAACATGCACCTTGCAGCTATCTATTTTTGTATTGCTACAAAGCAAAATTAACTTATTGTAACGTACACATAAATAACCGAAATCCAGCGTAATGTTCCGGCATTACCCTGAGCCCTCTATCCAACTACTTTTCTTTTAATTAATAATCACCATTGTATTTTAATTAACGCGCATATCATACATTCATTAACTCACGCGAGAAACGGATAATTTCACGTTTGGTGGTGAACGCGTGTTATTCTTCTGGCACGTAATTTACTCACTAATAATAGTTTACATGTCGTTTTAAATATATCACAATCAGACTGATGACATTTGAGCGTACTTTAAAAATGCCGTCCACCGTCCTAATGTCGTGTTTCGCCAGCTATGAGAACCTAAACATCAAACGCACAAAAAACAAATCTTTATACATTACGCGCTTTAAACAAAAACACTAGTTATATCCATATTGTTCACAGCATTAAAAAAATAAGCTGTCATAACATATAATGTGGCCGTCGCTATTAGAATTATAAAAAAGTTCTAAATTCCTGCATGTTCAACACTGCAACATCCACCAAACAGATGCATAGGCCTTAGCTGAATTCTTTTATGTTGGAACACTGTACTTCATAAAAAACAGCATTAGTTAATAGCATGATCGGTAGTTTAAATGGCATCTCTCCATAAGGTCCTGCTTTAGGGTCCAACGAAAGGACTAAACAGTGAAATAAGCAATATACACTGCCTCTGTAAATTATGCAGTCGCATTTGTTTGTAAATAAATAAAAGATACAGAACAGTTGTCCGCTGAATTAGGCTGAGTATAAATAGAGTAAATTTAGTTCACCAAACTATTCAGTCCAAAACGCGTGTACTAAGGGACATGAGAGCAATTACGTTATCATCCCGATCTTTAAAGAAACGGACGTCTTCTTGTCTTCTTGCAATGAATTATAATATCCTGTCAAGCTGCCATAAACTTAAATGTATTTCACGGTACAACACTGCAATATCCAAAGGCAACCAGGTCAACTTTCCCCTCTCTGTTTGTATCTATTTCCTGCATAAAATTAATTGAAATGAGGAGTCTGGTGCTGTTGAGAAATTTCTGGTCGGCAGTCCATATTTCTTCTTGCATCTAAGCAGCATTTCATAGAAAAATGCCGAACAGTCCTTCATTCCACTGCCGGAGTCCCATCGCAGCTACAGCAGGTTCCCTCTTCTGTAAGTGTATATCGGATACTGGAGCTGCAGCTCTTTTATTCAATTAGCTTTGAAGCGACACTTCCCTTAGGTGATAGTGGCATTCTGGGAAATGTAGTTCATGACACACCGCTCCGAGCGCAATTGATACTTTATTGTACATTAACCATGATTTACAAATCGTTTATCTAAAGCATCTGTCTTGGTAGTTGCACGTTTTAAGGTTTTATTTCCCCAGCTTTGTATATCAAATTTATTTCAGAATAATATATACTATATAAACCATATACTGAGTAACTATGTAATACCAAATATAAATACATCAACGTTATTTATCATTTTTAAATGTTTACACTACCTTACTTAATCCTACTCTGTTACAGGCTGTCCGTTTTTAATCATAGGAAAATAAACTCTTTTTTAACCTATCATATTAATATATTAAAAACCTTGGCCACGAGTGCGATAATCTTATCAATATTAATATTTACTAAGATTATATGAGGAGTACCTAAACAGCGTGTTTTGTATAATGTATTTTTCTTTAATTTAAGTTTTGATGGAGAAATGTACCTGAATTGGCAACAATGCATGAAGTAAGCAGACACATATGTGCAATATCTACAGATACATTGTTTAACTAACGTGAGATTGAACCATTTGTCGTCAGTATCAGCATTCCCGTCTCCCGTCGTCCATTTTTCGTTTAAGCACCATGGAGAACTCCTAACTGGAGCTGAGGGCGCCAGAGGGAGGAGAAGGGGCGGAGTGGTCTGGTATTGCAGGGAAAAAGCGGAATGCGAGTACGATATGGACACTGCTGGTTAGTGCAATTTTAAAATTCTTCAGTGCTCCTGCGCTGCGATCAAAGCGAGGCAGACGACACTAATACTGCGACAGGGATCTGTGTAGGCATCAGTAAAAATAGAAATTCCTGCTGCGTTCTCCGCATGCCACGCGTAACTGGGATCGCTCCATACCAGCACCGCGTCGGGAGATCCAGGTGACAGACAGTTCGCTATAAAAACAAAATCGGGCGTTGCGATAACAACTGTTATTCATGTCAATGTCAGTACTTTGGCTAACTGAAACTGCGTAACTGGAAATAAAACGCGTGTAATAACGTAATATTAAGGGGGAAAAGTCACACTGACGTCCTGGTTCTAAATCGGAAAAAATACAGCTCCCAACATGCCCCACAACGCCAAAGCGACGATGTACGAAATGGTCAAGTAGTAAAATACCCCGGCTCTTCCAGATGGCTAAAGCCTTTCAGAAGGTCGGTGGCTTCAGAAATTGACTTCATTTTCTTTTTCCCCCATCCTAAACACACGCCAGCTGGATTGGCCAGAGCAACTGCCAGTCACCTTACTCCATTCTGTCTCGGAGAGAAGAATTAACTGCAACGCGGGCATGCATGTCATCCTGTCTAAGTATATCTGAGTTAGGATTTGATCAGAGATTGAAGACAGATTGTCGGAACACGGCAGATATTTCCCTGGGACTAATATCCTTACAGAGGGAGGGCGAATACTTTAACAGCAGCTGATAAACAGAGAGATAAGGGGAAAGTTTTGAACAACAATGCCTGCAAATCAACACAGGTCCAGAACTCGAGATCGAAACAATATCCTCAACAGACCGGAGTTTATGTCTCTGAACCAACCGCTCAGGACGAATAGCGCGGAGATGCGCGGCTCCGCAAGGCGACCGGGCCAAGCGGCGAGGCAGCAGCAGAATCTGCAAGCCGAGCATCCCCCCCGTGAGCCGGTCGACAGCGCCAGGGAGCGCCGGGAGTCACTGAAGCTGCCGGAGGAAGACTGCATGCAGCTCAACCCCACCTTCAAAGGCATAGCCATGAACTCTCTCTTAGCGATCGACATCTGCCTGTCCAAGCGGCTCGGCGTCTGCGCCTACACGTCCTCCTCCTGGGGAAGCGTCCGTTCCATAGTAACGCTTCTGGCGTTCACCGGGCACGGAATCACGTGGATCCTCGGGACTCTCCTCTGTCTCACTAAGAGCAACACGTTGGCGGGACAGGAGGTCCTGGTCAATCTGCTTCTGGGTAAATAAACGAACACGCTATTTATTATAATATTTTATCATAATCGACTTTAATCGAAAACTGTACAGTGAATTATTTCGCAAACCAACTTCGGTACATCTGGACGTAGAAAGGCACCTAAAGATCTATTCACCTTGTTATATCAAAAGTTTTCCAGTAATAACCTTATGAGGGCTAAAACTGTTGTACTCTTGAGGAAAGGATTTTCACCTGAATGTCCTTAGTAAGCATATCCGATTATATTCTTACTCTTAAAAGGAGGAACGTAAAAAAATGCATGAAAGCATCTGCTCAGCAAGTAAAATGGCACCAAGGAAGATATATGTTCTGGCATTTCAGTCAAAGCAAATCCAATGCATTACAATGAAAGCATGTTCGTTTCTCAACAGCAGCTAAACTGGTAAAAATCTGGCCTCAGAGATAAGCCTTAAAAAGGCCGTCTTGATTTTTTTTCTGTATGTGGGGTGCTGCAGTCAGAGTCTCACTCTGTGAACTGCAATTCATCCTTTGTCGCATTATTTGTGATTAGCTGGATGTACTTGGCTTTGCGGGGAACGGCCCATCCTCTGGGCGCTGTGTGTTTTGCGTTATCCTCCGGCTGCACTCTGCAGCAGCGTGACTCCGAGTTACACGGTGCCCTTTTTCTGCGTGTCAAAGTCAGGCCGCTCATGCCTGCGGGGTGTTAAAGTTGGCTCTCTCTATGCAGCCGGCGTCCTGTGGTTATTTTTGCTTCCTCCTTGTTGCCTAGCTGCAGATGATGGCGGAGAGGGTGGTCGTCGTGTTCCGTCGATTGGAGCCATAGCGACGCTGCCTAAATTGCAAAGTGCGCCGCGCGCTGAAGGTTATTGCTAGTTAATGTCGAAGCACGTTATTCGTCGCAGTAATTCCCGGAGTGAATGGGGGTATTCTATTAAGGTCGTTTTTATAATGGCTGTGGAAGGATAATTCAGTATAGGTATACAATTATTAATAATCATTCTCAAGTCACATTTAAACATTTAAAATTAAACCCCCTGAGCACCGAAGGAGTGTGTCAGCCAAAATTTTACAACTAGAATGAAAGGCCTTATACATTTGTTCATCTACACAGCTTCCATAACTGTGTCTGTAGTACAGGGTTACTGTGACTGGGGCCTAACACAGGAAGTACAGGGTATGAGAACGGACACCCAAACCAATGTTGTGTGAAATGGTCATTTACAACAGAGTGTAATTGTAACCATATATGGTTAAAAACAATTTCTTATAATAGTAAAATTTTTAGAGCATCTTGTTAGTCACTTGCAAGTATTTGCCCTGAACTGGTCTGTCCTTTGTTTCATGGGAGAGACTCCAGACTCACTCATTACTGGATAAATAATTATGTAAGATGGATGGATGGATAGATAGGGAGACTTGTGGTGCATTGTTTATTACAGGAACCAAATTTTATCCATCCCCCAGTATACAATGATACATCTGCTTTTGTTAATTTTCTGAAAGGTTTCAAAGTTGCCATGCAACCTATAAAGAATGCAGAGTTCTGGCAAGTATGAGATTAATTAAAAACCTTTCCAGCCTTGTCCATTTTAGGGTAATATTTGCAGAAATAGAATATTTTTGTTAATCATTCACTCTGAAATTCTAAGGCAGTCTGTCTGATCCCAAGTGATGCTCTATCGTTCTGTTTGTGTCCACAAGGTTTCTAATGTGCCGTTTGTTCTGTCGTACACTCCTGGCCTGATATTTAAATCAGTACAATGTTCCCCTAGTGATTCTATGTTCCTGGTTGGGTGTTGCAGTGGGGTGTACATGCAGCTACATATGAGTAGGACAAGTAGTTAAGATAAAGGTGTCGGTACCCACACAAATGAGTTCTACTCTTTTCAGCACCTGAAGATATCGAGCTGTAGAACTTACCCTCCCCTTCTCCACTGGTCCCCATATCACTAAAGGTTAATGATGTTATGTTTGGTGAACGATTCCCTTGCAGGAACTAAAAACTCGCGTTCACCTCCCTGCACAAATTCATCCTTTTCGTTCCACTGAAATAAAGGTAGCTGATTATGAGAAAGACCTTGGTGTGTATGTTGATGCTTCCATGTCCCACTATCGCCAGTGTGGGGAAGCAGTTAAAAAGGCCAATAGGATGTTGGGTTACATCTCTAGGTGTGTGGAGTTTAAGTCAAGGGAGGTGATGCTACGATTACATAATTCCTTGGTAAGACCCCACCTAGAATATTGTGTGCAGGTTTGGTCACCGTACCTTAAAAAGGACATTGCTGCCTTGGAAAAGGTTCAACATAGGGCTACAAGAATGATTCTTGGTCTTAGAGGAATGTCTTACGAGGAGAGGTTAGCTGAGCTGAATCTGTTCAACCTCGAGCAAAGGAGATTAAGGGGGGACATGATCCAGGTATATAAGATTCTAACAGGTCTCGATGCTTTAATATTAGTTTAAATACTAGAACTCATGGCCATAGGTGGAAATTAGCGGGAGAACATTTTAAACTGAATTTAAGAAAACACTTCTTTACACAGCGTGTAGTCAGAGTATGGAATAGTCTTCCTGATAACGTAGTGCAAGCTAAAACCCTGGGTTCCTTTAAATCAGAGCTAGATAAGATTTTAACAACTCTGAGCTATTAGTTGAGTTCTCCCCAAACGAGCTTGATGGGCCGAATGGCCTCCTCTCGTTTGTATAGTTCTTATGTTCTTATGTAAATGAATGTTGATTCCCTCCTGGATTGTGTAAGGGCATGATATCAGCAAGCATATGATTGGCTGAACCTGGGACCGAACGTATACGCCCCTAAAGAACGAACAAGAACTGTGAATGAGAGACTGACTCTCTCGATGACTTCAGTAAGTGAGTGGGTCAAGGAGAGACTCTGATAGGCTGCCTCTGGGTCATGACTGAATGAGAGTCCCGGATGGAGTGAATGAATCGGTGAGAGAGTGGGAGAAGGAGAGAGTCTCTCAGTCACTCCTTCGGGTCTCTTGTTCTCGTTCTGAGTGAGAGAGGCCCGGATGGAGTGAATGAATCGGTGAGAGAGTGGGAGAAGGAGAGAGTCTCTCAGTCACTCCTTCGGGTCTCTTGTTCTCGTTCTGAGTGAGAGAGGCCCGGATGGAGTGAATGAATCGGTGAGAGAGTGGGAGAAGGAGAGAGTCTCTCAGTCACTCCTTCGGGTCTCTTGTTCTCGTTCTGAGTGAGAGAGGCCCGGATGGAGTGAATGAATCGGTGAGAGAGTGGGAGAAGGAGAGAGTCTCTCAGTCACTCCTTCGGGTCTCTTGTTCTCGTTCTGAGTGAGAGAGGCCCGGATGGAGTGAATGAATCGGTTACACCATCTACTGGGGTGATGTATAGCCTTCATGTACAGCGACTTTCCGTATACTGCAATTGGAGTTTAAAGATGCAACATTTTCGTGATTTAAAACAATTTAAACCAAGTTTCCTTAGCGTTTGGCCTCATTAGCCAGCAATATGATGAGCTGGTAGGTTTGCGTTTTTAAAAAAACCTATGGTACAATGTTGCCAAGACTTGGAGTATAATTCAATAGGGCTACCAGTGCTCCATGTGGTTACAGGAATGCTCATTTAAAAAGGTATTCAAACTGGATCGACCGACTCTGTGATCCCACGCTAGACCGTGGAATGACATTGACTTACACCAGAACCTTGTACGCATGGGATATTTTAGCTTATTGTTATTATGAGAGGGCAATTATATTTCAGGTACTTCCCTACCTTAAATGAAAAATTGTCACATTATAATCACAATCCCATTTAAGTATTTATTAGTGAAAATGAAATCAAAGTAATTCAGAGTTACTTACCAAAATACGTGTTAATGGGATGGCGATGCACCCCGACCAGTCCCATCATTGCTGGAGGGTTTGAGTAATTTTTAAAACTGAAAAAACGTGTATTACTGATGCAGTTGGCAGAAGGCTGTTAATTAACACGCGCCGGTTCACGACTTGAGTGAGCGTAATGATGCACAACAGGAAAGCAGTGCACAGAAGCGCTCTTTATTGCTTTAGTTTGCTGATGTGTGTTCCTGCTTATTTTTCTTCCTGTTTTTGAACTCGCAAAACCTTCATGGTAATCCGAAAGGAAATGTCGATGCTGGTGTTATAAGAGACTCCGTCTTCCGCTCTGTACGCGTTAGCAGAGAAAAGGAATGAGGTTCAACTGGAAGAAACAGGTTGGAGATTTACGTCTTAAGTCGACCATGTAGGTGGATTTTCGTGGAAGCTGCCTGCTTTTGTTTCTTACAATAAAACACCCACCCCATAATGCACACAGCCCTTCCACGCTTGTTCCGCGTCTCCGTTTCTCATGCAGCCAAGAACTCTGACTCCTTAAAGTCGATTCCTTTATACGCAATCCATCTTCATGTCTTGCACTTGAACTTAAAAAGACAAATTTTCTCGGTAATTTATATTCAAACAGATTTTCTTTTTCCTTGGAAACAGTATCTGTAAATCAATAATGTTTTAGTAAAGGTGTTTATGACTCGTGGGCCGAGAGCGTGAATTGTAGATGGAGGGTTTCTCTTTGCTCCACAAAGGCAATTTGACCTACTGGAAGCCAGAAAAACAGAAGCATTATGTGAAGGGCGTAACTTTGACTGGAACATTGGGGGGGTTGAGGTCTCCACCCATTACCAGGGAAACATGATTATTGGGGGGGGTTGTATTAGCTGGTTTTGATTTATTGGGGGGGGGGGGCTACAACCCCCCCCATCCTTCTCGTAATTTACGCCCATGCATTATGTACACGTGATGTCACATCTAAGACTAGCAATTAGGAGCCAAACATACAGGGCTGCCAACTCTCACGCATCTGGCATGACACTCACACGTTCAGACTCTCACGCTCACGCAAGCAATCTCACTGCAAATCTGTATTATTCCATTATAAACCTAAAATTAACTACATCAGACGCGCTGAGGTAGTTTGCAAACCTTACAGACTATTTAGGCCGACAAGGTAATCAAACTCTTACATACATGTA